CGCTTAGGCGATTACAGCGTGAAATTAGAAGAAGAATATTAGCTGCTGACTTGGGCAGCAAGGGTCGACAAGGAAGGTGAATAACTACTCTGATAGCCAATCGGCAATTACGAATTTGTGCTCGTTTATGTTGCGCTAACAGCGCAGGTGATCTCATCAAAATTGTACCCTGCTTGAAAGCAGTAATGTGGACTAACGAGCCGCCATATAGTGGGTTCGAGTCCAGCGGCCAGTAGAATTTATCTTTTAGTTTTTTTTTAATTTATTGAATTACTACTTTTATCTTTTTATTTAATTAAGGTTGCTGGGGACTTTTTTCATAAAAATAAATTGTTCAAATTCTAATAAGCTAATATAGTGAAACCCGCTTAAGTACCCCCCCGCTTAAGTACCTAACCCGCTTAAGTAACCAACATTTTTGTACGCCGTGAATTTTTTGAAGTAATCTGGAGAAAATCCCTTTCTTAAGTACCTCCCCGCTTATTTACCAAACTCGCCTAAGTACCTAAATTTTACTGAAATTCAGTGGCAGCGCTACACACCTTCAAAAAAATCAACGGTAATTTTTAGCCACTTGAAACTTGCATATTTTAAACCAAAATTGAATGGGCAGTAAAACTTTATACTCAAAACACTCTTCTGAGAATTAACGAGTTGATCCGGATCAACGCTGCCGTCTGTCTATGATTTTAGTATCTCTTATTCAGATTTAGGAAACTTTGTGGCTGTTGAGGTGACCGGGAAAGGTGTCATCGGGTGAGACTCACTGTGAAAAGAGAGAGTGGGAGTACTCTTGACTACATGTGGACTACTCTCGGAGAGCTAGGCTTTATGTCAGCGCAGTGGACGCTGGGTGAAAACTAAAAATTTTACTACTACCAGATCCTTCTGACCGAGGGTGAATTGAACAGGGTTAATAGCTCTACATAGTCTTGCGAAGGGTTAAATTTCCATTCTAGTTGATATCGATATGCACAAAACTGTCCGATTGAACTTCACGCGGTGAGACGAAATATATATCATACCCCATCCTCATTGTCTTACTTCCGTTTAAACTGCCCAGCTGTTTGTGGTCAGCATAATTTAAAAAGAATAATAATGCTTGATGATATGAACATTTTCGGTCTTTATTCCAGTAAATGAAAGAAATTTTGTTTCTACTATAATGTGTTTTCATTTTTATTTCCACAATATATTTAATTAAAGTTGTCATGGCTTTAAGTATTTATGTACTTTACAATCGTTAGACACTTGATATTTTTGCATTTGTTAATTTTATTTCTTTTTTGTTTTAAAATACCTTCGCACTTAACTGGTCAACCTTAGTGTGAATTACCGCCCTACCAGAACAGACTGGGAAATATCCGAATAAATACCGGTTTTAAGGTAAAGCTACCTGTTGTTTCGGGTAAAGTTTTAGCGAAATTCTTAACAGCAATAGGAAAATTCTACCGTAAAAATCTCTCTGAACTCGGCTTACCTTCGTTTATTGAAAATTTTTGAAGAAATTTGTGATTTTGTCTGTGATTTGTAAACAAAACAGTAAATGTATTGGCGTATACGGTAAACTGTTCTGGTAGGGTACATACTTATGTACAGGCATACAAGTGTAGAGAGCTTACAAATTTAATTCTTCGCTATTAACTTCCAAGTCACTTTTAATGCCTCAAAATATGTACATTAGGGTGCATCACACTCCATGCAAATAAAAATTGGTATTGGTTTTTCCATCGAAAATATAAAATTTATTATTTTTTAGGACTTCCGAAAAAATATTTCAGAAAAATAATAAGACTTTCGTTAGCTGGACCCCTTTGGAAACACCTCCGAAAGTTGACTTTTTTTTATAAATAAAATTAGTTTTATTATCTAAAATCTCACCTCACATGAGAGAAGAGTTTAAGCTCAAAAGCTCTGCATAAAAATTTTTGAACTACTTTCAATGGAATAAAAAAAATATATATTTTTGGGGCGAAGTTGCAAACCAGTCTAGCCCGCGTAAATCTCAAATTTTTTTAAAAACATCTCGGAAAAAATCTTAAAATATAACAAATTTTATAAGTACGGTAGAAAATATTCAACTTATTTTGGTGATACACCCTAATGTACATTCGTATGTATGCCTTTCACCTCTTTGGACAGAAACTTGACGTACGTACGCATGCATGATTGATTGTGTGTTTCTTGTTTTTAATTGCTAAAAGTTTATCAATGATTTTTGTAAAATTTCTATTGAAATGCTAGTATTCAAATCGATTTTATTTTACACACGGATGTACATACATACATACATAACAACGCATATGCATGAGTTGGTTTCGTTATGTACCATTGCTTAGCTGCTGGTAGTAGTTGGACTTAAACGGTATTTACATTTAAAATTTTGCTATTAATTTAAGGCGTGGCTGCCATTCAATTACATACATACATACAAATATTATGTGTGTGAATGTTATTACAATTTTATTTGCTAATACTGTTAAACTTAGTATGAAGTTGTATGACGTTCATATTGTGAAAAATAATTTGAAAATGAATACCATTTGTTTGAAAGAGAGTTTAAATTAATAAAAAATATTTTTTGTTTTCAATTTGCAAATACATAAATAAAATTTTTTTAATCACAACATGCGATATTCAATTTTACATACACACACACCAATATATTCCCGAAACTAGAGGTCAAATATAGTAAAACTGCGTTAATAGTTTTTCTCTCTGACGTCAGGAACTCTGTTTAAAAGACTTGGAAAATTCAAGACAATAATTAAATCAAAAAATTATTTAAAAACTTTAGTGCAATTTAGATTAACCAAAATAATAATAGAAATATACCCATAATATCAGCTAAAAGCGAAAATTCCTTAGAGTTGAGAAAGAGTAAATTTTTGTTGCACAAGGACTAATAGGTATTGAAAATGTTCATTTAAAATTTCACCCTTGAAAATTTACTAACTTTCTTCTAACTTTAAAAGCTTAAAAAAATAAAATTTATTAAAGGGAATTTTCAATATCTTTTGGGGGTTGTGAACCAAAACACTTGGGTTAGGTTAGGCTACAGTGGCTGCTGGTAGACACACCAGTACACCTAGGCCCATCATTGGGCCCGTTGTGGTGCCAAGGGGATCTCGTTAGTTTTGTGCCCAGTTTAATTTCCCTGCATAACATCACATAATGTTTGTGGAAATTTTCCACTTTCGACTAATGCGTCAGCGTACTCAATGACATTGTAGCTACCCTCCTCCTTCACGTCTCTGAGCTGTGGGTTTGTTGCCAAGACCCATAGGATAGGAGATAGGACTCCACCTTGTGGCATACCTCTAATGACAACTTTACTCGTCAATATCCCTACTAGATATCGGCCTGAACTAACCTACATCTTAGCAACTGGCCTACAAGTGTAACCAGCAGCGAATCGACACCCAGAACCGCCAGCGCTATCGTTATTGATGAGGGTAAGATGTTGTTGACAGCACCCTATCTAGGATTGCCGCAGGACTATATTCCTTGAATGATAGTGATTTTTTTATATGCCCCATGACCTCATGTAGCACTGTTTCTGTGAACTTACCCTTGGTGTTGGCTGGTGGCTGTTACCTTCTCCCTAATATGGAACTCCATACGCCGCGTCATTGTTTTTAATGGGCTCTGTTCCTGGGGTCTTGTATTGCTTGAAAGTTTCAACAGTTCAGGATATCTTATTTTTGGAGAGGATTTCCTGTAAAAGAGGTTTTATGTTCACCTTCCCTGCATTGTGTAGAGCCTTTATATAAATTTGTAGAGCCTCAGATTTATCAGCGGTGGCAGCAGGAAAGTGTGAGTCCATCAGCAGATCCAGGTTTTCTTCTTCCGTTTCCGTCCTCGTGCCATTGGATTTCTACAGAGAACCCGGGCTGTCTGTGGTTTCCCGGAGAGTACTTTCCTAATCCTGCTGAACTCCGTGGCCGAACTTTGCTGCAGAAGACTCTCCATGAGAAAGTTATGCGGTAAAATACATAAAAAAAAATAAAAATATTCCGACGAATTGATAACCTTCTGCTTTTTGTGGCGTCGGTTAAAAACTAAAAGCGCAGTTTCACTATATTTCGCCCAAAGCTTCGTGAGTATATTTACTTTTTCGTGCGTTTTAACATTTTTTTTTTTAGATTTTGGCAACACAAAATTTTTATTAAAGGACATTAAAAAAAAAAATATATTGAAAATCACTTGAAAATTTTGCAAATCGTTGGTATAGGAACTTATTTATGCTCTGCTTTGGGTGACACATAACATTTACATGCATACAAACATACAGATGTTGTTAAGTACATGTACATATATGTATATAGCTAATCCTTAGGAATATTTATTACTTAAGTACTCGTATATTTATTTTTCTTTCCACATAATATATAACACTTTTTCATGCTTATCTACTACAGACTAAATCTTTTCACGATTTTTCAGTTTTAATTATTTACGCGTATTTTTTGTTTGCAAAGTTTAAATAAAAAGTTTGTATTTATTAATTTGCTAAGGACTCTTAGAGACTTACGTGTATAGGTTACTGATAGTAAACTCTAGTTACAACTTAATATTTGAATATCATCTTTAATATAAGTTTTTGCTCATAACATTTTTTGATAAACAAATTGGACTAGTTTACTAAGCATTAAAATGTTTACAATTTCACATTTAAAATTTTCCATTATTCTACTACTTAATTATTTACAGAAATATATACAGTACGTTGCATTGAATCCACCGCCTGCGAACTACACCCCTCCCGCGGCCCCTTCGTTTTATTATTGCACTATAATCCCAGAACACACACTCATTCATATCTCTCCCGCATCCACTCACCTCTCGCTCGCGCACACACACACACCACCATGCCAAAGGCGCAGCTTCCCTCAACCATACCAATATTTTGTCGGTTCACTGGTGCCGGCGCTCTCACGCTCGCTCTCCAGGTTCTCGTAACACTAAAGGACAGCCGAGCCGCACCAGAGCACCTGACCTCAATATGGCCGCCACACGCTGCCCCCATTATCGGTGGGTGTGTGGTGTCCGCGATGTGCAGCCAATGCGGCGACCTGTCGTTGCGTATTGCTGCCATCCTCGATATTTCGCACCGACGCACCACAATTGCCGATCAACGTCAGATCACCCGGATGCGTTACACCACCACCGGCCATAATGTTGTGCTGCTGACGTACGCCCACACCCACTCCCACGCCCACATTGTTGATATGATCCATAACGCTTTGCAGTTCGGCGCCGTGTACCGACGAGTTGGGCGAGGCGTGTGTGGGTGTTAGTGCATGCGAGTGAAAGCCATGTGTCTGATTGGCCGCTGTGTAGAGTTGAGAGTAGAGTAGACTTGCCGGCAGCACGGGATAGAGCGAACCATTACAGCCAGCACCGGTTGCGCCTGCACCTCCACCGCCCACGCCTACGCCGACACCAACGCCGGCGCTGCTACCACCACTATAGACGGCGGGGTTCTGTGTCTGATTTACCAGCCCGGGAAAGTTTTGGTTGGCGCCGACAAGCGAATTGTTTGCCGCTGAAGAGTTAGATCCGCTGCCACCGCCGGCACCGCTGCTGCCATTAGCGCTGCCGTTGTTTGAGCCATTGGCACCAGCGCCGCCGCCGCCACCGCCAGCGCCTGCTCCACCACCACCTCCTAAATTTGGTGTATTCGTAGTGAGCAGATCTTCCTGTACCGGCGATTCGGCTTGCGAGGAATCGCTCAAACTTCGTGGCCCATTTTGGCTGGAGTGTACATTGTAATCGTTGTTGGTATTGCTATGATGATAGCGTGGCACCAAAATCGAATTCGAACCGACGCCGACGCCATTGACGGTGGAGGAAATTGCCGATTGACCGCTGGAGCCCAGCAGGCTGTGATGTGTCATTTGTCCGGTGGTAGAGCCAACCAGGTTACTCAAATGCTGATCCAAATCGGTGGCCGTAGAGTCGGGTAGCACTAAAAGTGAAAAAAGAATAAAAAAGAGGTAAGCATTAGTTTAAAGTAAAAATTATTCGTTATTTGCTTCTTGCTTTCATTCTCAGTGCAGAGCATCAAACATTCGTTATAAGATGAAATCAAAACGTATATTTTTTAATGGAATAGCCTTTCGCATTTTGGAACTACTTACTTGGTACACAATCGCGATTTGTGCCGCCCGTAAAGTCCTGATTGTTTGACTGATCGTTGGAGGAGCAGGTAAAGCCAAGTGCTGGATTATTAAATTGAGCCGATGATGGAGTTGTGCAGGAGGAAAGACCACTACCAGCCAAGTATGGTGAGTAAGCAGATGCTGAGCCGTAACCCCAGTGTGTATTACCAGCACCTGAAAAGTTGGATGTGGTCATGAAATATGAAGTGTATCTAAGTTTAAAAGATTTTTTCACGTGTCTTTAATAGTATTTAGTACGAGTATAAGGTTTCTTATAAAAAACGTAAAGCATTTCCATATTTGCTTTTCAATAAACAAGGGCTTTCCCGACATTGACTTCTCTTTAATGTGGAATAAAATTTTCGCATTGATGAAGCTATAGACAAATCCACTTTTGAATAGATAGATTGAGAAATTCTAGCAATTTCCTCCAGTACTTAGACAATTATTCCATGGGTTTGACAATCATATGGGCAAGGGAGACTTTACCTTAGGTTTTTTAACAAATTATGACAAAAATTTGCTCCAGCTTTTACTGAAAGACAAATAAAAGCTCTGTGTATATTTTTATCGCATAATTTCAAAAATTGCAAATTTTGAGTTGTGCTTCTTTTGAAAACGGTATGCGATATGTACATATGTAACTACGAGTATATGGCAGCAGCACCACATACAACCGCTGCATATCAAAATTACTCACTCGCCGCTTCAGCCTATACATTTTTCAATTATGTTTGTAAATATGTATACATATATGCTACATACGAAACATCCATATCGAACGTCATATTTTTGACATTCGCGAATGCGTATGCGAATTTTCGGAATGCGAACGTGCGAATGCGAATGGTAGGCATAACATTAAAAAAGCTATTATCAACTTAAGTCATCGTTTTTATTACTTAAAAATTTTGTTAACCGACTTCACAAAAAGGAGAAGGTTATCAATTCGTCGGAATATATATTTATTTCTTTTATGTATATTACCGCATAACTTTGGACCACGTTAACCGATTTTAATAATTCTTTTTTTTTTAGGAAAGTTGGTACCTCACAGGTGGTCCCATACTAATTTGGTTTAAATTCGATCATTGGATTATGGAGAAATTCACGACAGTCTTGAATTTTTATATGAGAATTGAAGCCGCGTTTTTTTTTTTCTTAAATGTTACTTGTAAATTATTAAAACATTGAACGTGTGCTTAACCTTCACAGTGTTTTAATCTAAAAGCCAAAGTTCATAAGGGGCATATTTCAAAAAAAAGTAATTTTGCTGCCTTTTCTCCCATGAGGCGATTTCTTTGAAGCTCGCATATAAGGCCGGCTGCCCCGAACAATTGCTCACTTTGAACGCTGGCGGGTGCAGTGCTCAAATTTTTGCGGGCCAGATCTGTCAATTTGTCATATTTTAGTTTAGTTTTCCATCAAACGAGAGGATTTTCATCGAGATGAGCTGGTTTTTCTTTAAGATAGGCCTTCAAATGAGCTTTACTTTCACATTTTTAAATATCTCCAGATTCTACATCCGAGCCTTCGCTTTCGCTGGAGGATTCTAAAATTATTTCTAGGTTGCTTATAAAACTTTTAACAGTACTCGTTGAAGGCCCATCAATGTTGCTTGATATACTACTTGACCGTTTAGCGCCTGAAGCTAAAAGCTTCCGCACCCTGGTTAGACAGACTTAGAGCCATTACAAAAATATTAGAGTGGACTCTCTGCCCGTGTACACATTCACATTCGCAAAATATGCGAATATGAATGTCTAAAATGATGCGAATCATTCGCATAACGAATGCGAAAGCAAATATTCGCAACATCTCTGGTATATCCATATGTATATCATTCTTGGTGCATCACATATGGATATGTGAAATAAACGAGGCAACGGCCCGCTAATTACGTCAACATGGCGGAGTGCGTGTAAATGAATGAGGCCATTATGCGGGTTGGCTGTTGATTGGATTGGATTGGTTTGGACTACTGTTGGCTATTGGCAATGTGTGGGTAATGAGTAGGCGCCGACGTCCATGGAAACAATACCAATATGTGCATACATTAGGGTTTTCCTTAAAAACATGTGAAAAAGTAAATCGGAAATTTAATGATCTCACCCCCAAGGTCTGTTTTATATCGAAATAAAGTGTACCCCGTTTTTTTTTTAATTAAAAAAATAAGCGCTCAAAGCTTTTCATGTATTTTATCTGGGACAACACCCAATTGTTTATTTAACCATTTTATTAGTGTTACCTAGTTTTTATAAGACCCCTAAAAATCTAAGACAATGGGGGACCCATTTGAGTTTTAGGGGTACTATAAAATAGTTAAAAATAGAAAATGGTTAAATAAACAATAAATTGTTGTTATTGATAGTCTCCTGAGAAGAAACGAAGTTTTCTTATCGAAAAATATTGATTTTCAAGAATTCCATACCATTTCTACGAAAACTTGTTTTTTCCCCATATCGATGGCTGAGTGGAAGATAGACCTATCTCGGCAGCCAGTTCGAAAATGCCCTATCTAAAAAAAATTTTCAACCATGCCTGGTTTCAGAATTCGATTGAAAAACACCCTATCTCAGAATTCGGTTGAAGGGGGTGAGAGCATTAAAGTTCCGAGTTTACTTCTCTTGCCCCACCCTAATGTATATTCAGAAGTACATATTATATATTGTTTGTATTTACTCGTATCTAGCCTATCTTCAAAAGCAGTAACAAAAACAGCATCGATAACATCAGTAGTTAACAATTTATGAAAAAAAAGTACTGATGGTCAGTGTAAGTTTTTTCAGCAAGAGTGACACTCACACGAACCTATATTTAGTTGCTCTTGTTATTGGTACATATTGCCAACTAGTCAGCTGGCGTTGGCTCCACGAATGGCTATACACATGCACATATGTATGTACGTAAATGTTTTCACACACCCACTAACCGCTGTGATATGCCTTGTTTTATTATTGGAGGTTAAAAATGGTTTCAAAAATTTGTTGCTCTACCATAACACGTATGGCGTATGGTTGTAAAACAAAAACTACATACAGGGGAAGTATGCATTTATGCGGGCGCCTAACTAAATTAACTGATTTTCGTTGTGCTAAATGTGCGTGCTTTTGAACGCTTATTGTGATTTTACAAAGCTATCGCCGTTATGTATTGTAATTAGGCTTAATTAATAGCTCATTCGGAAATTATTAATTAGTTTTTCGTAGACGCATCATAGTGGGTTCGGTACTCTTTAAATAGTGGATATTGATTTTGTGGTGGCTTTATTAATGCTATTGACTTGAATGTTTCATCAAAAGCACATAGTTATGTAGATACGTGTGCAGAAACGCAAATAATTTACTTGCATATGAAGTGTTGAATACACTGTGGCAGGCAGGGCGGTAGCAAATTTTTAAAAAATTGTTTTTACCAGATGTTTTGTATTTTGTTTTAACTTTTAGTTGCTTACTTCTTTTTCAACCAAACTTTCTACAATTTTGGTCATAATGCACCATTTTTGAAAAATTTTTTCAGTTTGGTACACTGGTACATATCTTTTAGATTTGGTATATTGTACTTATTTAAATGTCAAGCCTTTGTGTGAAGTCCAACATGTACATACAGTGATCATCAAAAATTAGTATAAGTATATATAAATTTTTCTTACTTATTTAAAAAAACTAGTATCGCCCAGTTGTCGAAATTCGACATCTTTTTTCATACACTTTTGAATTTTACCTGCCACTAATACTAACTCCTTTATGCGAATTACTATTTTGAAGTTCACCAGCATAATTAGTTGCGTTCTTTATCTCCCAGAAATAGTCAGAAAAAGTCCGAAGTAGTCAGTGAAAAGTGAGAGAGCAACACTCAGTGAGAGTGATTCTCTTCAGTCCGATGTAGTCAGATTTAGTCAGAAGAATTTTTGCTGGCAAAATCTTGAAAAGTGTCAAACTCAACTGAATTTAAATTAACGGAAATTAAAGAGTACACAAAAAGTGAGAATAATCTACATAGAAAGTAAAAAAAGTGAATTGAAAGTGGAAGGAGGCAAAAAAGAATTGATATAGTAAGTGTTTATTGTGCTTGTGCTTGTGTGAATGTGTTTTGTACATACATTTCTTTTCTACGTTAGTTTGTTGTTGCCATTCTTTGGACTAAAAATTTGGTTTTTTGCGTTCCTTTACTTTCTCCTGTTATTCTCTTTTAGTGAGCGCATTTTGCTTACGCTCTTGCATTTTGACACTTTTAAGATTTTAGTCCGAAAAGATAAGGAATGGACCTATTTATAGCGAATTCACAGGTTTTTCGATTATATTTGTCTGAGAGCCTCTTGGAGGTTAAAAACTAGATTATCCATATCTACATAAACTTTTTCTTTTTTTCATCAGAATCGTTAACGGTTGTGAAAGTATCTTGAAGGTTTATAACAAAAGACAATATTTGTCAAGACTGGGCCAAAGCCCAATATTTTTTCAACACACGACTGGGCTACCAAGTTAAGTTAAGATAGCTCTCAATCCCTGCGCCACCTATTGGAAGACATACACACTGATTCTTCTGAAAATGTTTGCACAAAACAACAATCACTCAATGCGATTTTAAAATCTGGGAGAAAATGGTGCCTAATTGAATGATCCTTACGAGTTTGTATGTGTATAAATGTAGGTGTATTAAATTCCATTACCTTATAATAGGTGGTTCCAGAGATAGGCGATATGCGAATTTTAGTTTTTGTGGGCGGTGCCACGCCCCCTTTCCCATTATCTACCATTTTTCGCCAGAGGTACGTTATTGATATCACAAATAGTTGTGTCAGATTTCAGGACGTTAACATAAGCGGTTCCAGAGAAAAGCGAAATGAGAATTTAAGTTTGTGTGGGAGATGTCACGCCAATTTTTCCAGTACCTACCATTTTGCACCGTAAGTAAGTAAAATGCCACGCCCCCATGTATTGGGATTAACATTTCTGGATTAGAGGAAGTTATATCCTTTAAATCGGTGTATGTTTCATTGAAATCGAGCGAACGGTGCCTTCAAAAAGGGATTGCAAAATTTTCTTGTGGCGTATTTATATATAGATATAGTGCATTAAACAACAAAAACCACAAAAATAAATTTTTTTAATTGCATACAGAGTTTTAGAAAATGCAAGAAGTTTTCAACATTTCAATTCGATTTCTTAGGA